ATTGAATGATTTTGAAGATGTACTTCTTAACATTAACATAATATATTTGAAATTTTATTTTCAAATATTTTTACAAGATTCAAGATTTAATTAAAAAAAAAAAAACTCTTTTATTGAACTAACTCCTATGAATGCAAATGTTTCAAGGCATTATATACAACTGAAAAGTCCATTCCAAAATGGAGAATGCAGAAGGCAAAAATGCCATTAGCAGCTCAATGTTATTGACTGGAGGAGGCCAATAAATTTTTCTTTTTAATGGAATGGGATGGGGGCCTTCAAGCTAAGGCAGATTCAAAGCAGGTGTCTGTCTCCAAATTGAGAGCAATTTTCCAAGTATGAATGGTCAAATTGAAAGCATGGGGCGGTGTTAGTTAACGAAAGGCAAAAGTCAACGTTCATGGTGGTTGGGATGATGGGATGGTACAGAGTAATACAACTAGGGGCTTTCATGTAATTAAAGGCATAATTAATTAGCTTAATTAATTATGGTCATTTAAGATTTTGATTGATGGTTATTGGTAGGGTAACTTGCAACCATTGAAAAGGTAAGATTCATTTTAAGTTTATGATATTCGGTGCCCAAACGTGGCATTCTTTTAATATTGGTCGGTCACCAAAATGTTTTATTATTATCTAAGTAAAAACAATCGGAATTTTGAAAAATTAAAAAAAAAAAAAACCGACCTGACCGTTTCAAAATCTTTAACACAAAATAGGGATGTGCTAATGGATAAAATGCTTTATATTATCTGAAAATATAAAAACGATTGCACGTTTGGACCAAAAAAGAAGGAAAAAAAAAATCTGACCTAACCGTTTAAAAAAAACTTGAACAGCATGACAAAATCTGAATGTGCGAGTGAAAAAAATGAAAATAAAAATATTAAATATAAATACAGATTCTATTCATTATTTTTTAATAAAATTTTAATTGTTATTGATAGATATGACTTTTATAATTCATATATAACTTTTACACGTATAAATGATAGTGATGAATATATTGCAATATAATAATGCATCCATATATATATATATATATATATATATATGGAGAGAGAGAGAGAGAGATAAAAGAGAATGATAATTTCTTATATTTATAAAATTATTTATTACGTGAGTGAAATACAGTGATATGTGTATTAATTCGAAGCAATATGGGTTTCATAACAAAACTTATTGTGTGTCACATTGACATTAATTTGGAGGACCACTTTATAATAATTTTGATAATTAATACATATTGTGAATATAATTTTGCAAAATATATTAAAAAAGTTTTCATTTTAGTTTTTTAGATTTTGGTTTGAGGAGAAAGTTATTTTTTAAAACATTGGAAGTATACGAAACATTAGTATAAGAATTTGCAGTGAAAAAGGTATCCAAAAAATAAAAAAAAAAAAAAAAGAAATTGCAGTGAAAAACTTCAGACTGAATTTTATTAAATTGATTCCCCATATATAATTAGATATTTAATAGCTTAATTATATAATTTGTTTGTTTAAACTCACATGGAAATGTGGTAAGCATCTAAATCTTTTTATCAGTTACTCTAACACTAACTAAATGCATTTTTATACGTTAGTGTATAGGATAATATAATAATAATAATTTATATACATACGAAAGTGGTGCTTACTGCTATTATTTATACATGTAAAATGCATTTGGAGGGAATTTCAACTCTAAAATTTTCTTTTTGGAGGAAAACACAAGGAATATTCAATGTTAGAAGCAAATTTTAATTAGAGTTTACTCCTTTCCTTGTCCTTGGCGTGATGAGGATTCAGGAGAGGGGTCCACTGTCCATCATCAAATCCCCTATCATCACAAATTTTACAAAACTTTACCAAAAGTACAAAAATAATTACAATTTTACAAAATTAATAGATTATATATATATCCACACACTAGAATTTGACAAATTACGTGTGTGTGTATGAAAAGAGTGTATATATATATATATATGTATGTATACATATAGAAAGTTGTATTTTAGAAGAGATTATATATGAAAAAAGGTGGATAATTTTTTAAAGTAGATAATTGTTTTTTTAAGTGAAAAGACATAAATATGTTAACTTTATATTATTTGTTAAAATAAGTTTTTTTTTTTATTTATTCTTCAACTAAATTGGTATTTTTTATTCAACATCAACTCAATCAAAGATTTTGGGCTATAATAATAATAATAATAATAATAATAATCTCTGAATAAATTTCTATATTTTTATTGCATTAAAATAAATTCTTAATTTTATTTTGTATCTGAATAAATTCTTAAATTTTAATTTTTATTCAAATAATTTTTATCTTTTAAGTTATACCTAAATAAATTTTAATATAAATTAATTTTTTATTTGAAATTAGAGTATACTTAAATACAAATTAAAGAATAATAACTTATTTGAGTATAATAAAATATAAGAATTTATATAAATAAAGTAATAAAGTTCAATAACTCTTTAATATTTAACTTTTAAAATAATATAAAATTAATTACTGGCTTAACTTTCATACATTCCTAATGAGTATTCTAAAAAATAATATAGATAAATATTATTGAGCGTTCATGCAGCAGCTATTGGAATGCAATCAAAATTTAAAAGATGTTAGAAGGATATGTTTGAAAATAATTTGAAAAAACAAATAAATGAATACTTCTTGTCTTATATATAGGGCTTGGTGATTGATAAAAAAATTGTCAATTTGTTATTTTAATAAATTTTGTGGCATTTCCGTCCTCCAATCTGAAAAAAAAAAAGTATTACAAGTATATATTTTTAAATCATTTAAATTTTTTAATGAAAAATTAACAATTTGAATCAAAAAATATATGCAGTAAAGAATCAAAATTATGAGACATTTGTTATTATTATTTTGTCATTAAAGTTTCAATGGTCTTAGCTAATGAAATAATGAATATAAACTTTTTAATTCATTGAATAGGAGATAAGTGATGGGACGGTGGGATTTATTTCATCAATGAGTTATTAATTTAATAAGGCTATAATCAATTTTAATTGTAATCAAAAGATTAAAAACCCTTTTTTATTCATAAATTTATTATGTATTTTTGGGGAAAATTTGATTTATGTGATCTAATCTCATTAAAAAACAATATCGAGAGAACTAATTGATTGATATATATGAGAAAAATATAAAATTCTACTAAGATCTTTAGCATATTTTCCCCTAACGATTCGGCTATTAGAGATTTTAAAATATGAATATCAATCTTATTTATACTTAATAAAAATTTTGATTTTTTTACCAAAATAGGAATAAAAATAGATATTATATTATAAGTATAAGAATTGATATGATTTTAAAATTTTATTAAATTAAGGGATGAAGACAAATAATAAAATATCCGTTTCACATTTATATCTTACATATATATTTGATATATTTAGTAAATAAAATTTTTATTAAATAATATAATATTTTAGTTTAAATTAATTATAATTCATATTTTTTATTAAAAAATATATATTAATATATATTTATAAAAAAATTACTTAAATATATAAGATAAAAATAAAAACTAAAATTATAAATCTTAATTTTTGTTATTTTAAAAAATTGTGAGTATAAGAATTATCCGTATTCATTAAATACACATGATAAAAAATAAAAATAAATTTAAAATACTTATCAAATATAAAAATAAAAATAAAATAATATAAAAATTTACTAATAAAAATAGAAAACACTATATCTCTCCTATATCCTATGAATTGACAAAGATAATTAACTCTGCATTAAAAATAAAATTAAAGTAAATAAATTGTTCAATATTTTAAGTCAAAATAAAATGTACTGTAAATAATTATTTTACATAAATAACTTTTGATTATGCAATTGAGGTAATTTTAATAAATAATTATCAATAAAATTTGAATTTAAAATTTTTTTATAAAAAAATAAATTTTAATTAATTAAACCAAGACATTTAGTATTAACTCTGCATGTACAACACATGATCGGCTGAGTTGAATTTTCCTTTTCACGTGAAACTTTGAGACTTACCGCGAAGTATACTGAATGCGGTGTCCACGCGCATTGGTTTGAATAACTTTAAGAGGAAGTTTCTCTCCTCCCCCATGCTACGTCCCGAAGGCCAAAAAAATCTACGTAAACATACGCTTTCTACTGTTGTACGCTGGTTCACGGGACGCAGAGTTTTTTATTCCGTTTCGGTTCTTGAACATTTTAAAAATAAGTTTTAAATATTTAGTTTTTTCTTTTTTTATTTAAATCCAAAACAAATCTATTGAAAATTACTTGAGTATAACTAGATTCTAACGATTTAAATCCATCAATTGTTAAATTTTTAAATATTTAAAATTTTTCACTTTTGGAATAATCTTTTGAATTGATTTTTTTTCTCGTTCATATTTTTATATAAAAAGATTAAAATATCTTTTATTTTATAATAAATAAAAATAAAATTTTATTAATAAAAATTTTATTCTAATTTGTTCGTCAATTTTTTTATATTTATATCAGTTTTTCCATAAAAGTGAAAATATTTGAATTGAATATTATGAACTTTCAAGTCATTGATTTTTTTGGTATAGTATGGACTAAGTTTTTTCCATTTAAAATATACTATTATATTACATAAAATTAAAGATATTATTATATACAATTGCCTATAGTAATAATTATAAGAAAAACTATTTATTTTTTAATTTTATATAATAATTTTAAAAAATTAAGACATATATAATCTTATTAATCTTATTTATATAAGTTAAAAATTTTACTCACAATATATTAAATAATTTTTTAATAATACTATATTACATAAACAAATAAATAAAAGAATATAGTTCAAGACCGTTGTAACGAAAATCTCGGCGAGGACCAAAATAGGGATATGACAAAGAGTAACATTAAATAGGGGCAAATTTGTCAAAAAAAATTTTTTTTTTTGGTAATAAGAATTTGGAATTGAATCTTCTTAATGAGACCGCCCAAAGTAAGGCTTTCATGTAAGAGGGAAAAACGAGAAAAAAAGGTCTGAGGCTTTTGCGCGTATATATATGTATACATATATAAAGGGTAGAAGAGCGAGCGTTTTCAAAGGAGAAGTCTGGCGAAAGAGAGGCTATTGAAGGGATGGATAGTCTGATAAGAAACAGAGGCATGCTTCGGGTTTCAGTGTGTGGTCAAGAAGAGATAGAGCATCTCTCAAGAGAGAGTAGCCATTACAGTCTTTCCACTGGTATACTTCCTTCACTTGGAGCCAGAAGTAACCGTAGAGTCAAGCTCAGGGGATTCATTGTTTCTCCTTATGATCGTCGTTACAGGTCAATAATAACAAGGCCTTGCTTTTTTTCTTGTTCTTGAACTCTGGGTTCTTCTTCTTCTTCTTTCTTATAGATGCTGACTTAAGCGTCTATTATTGGGGGACCATGATTTGTCATCAATGTGTATAATAAATTCCTTTTCTTTTAAACGAGGAGGGTATTGGCAAAATCACGCCATTGAATCTCGTGAGTATTGTTTTGGAAAAAAATGAATTAAATATTGTCCTTTTTTTATATTCTTTAATATTAACTTGTTATTTACTTCAGTTTACAGTTTTTCTTTAGCAAGAAAAGCAAGGATAGTTTTCTGTTGTCAGTATTCCATATGAGTATAAAGCTGATTTCACATTAATGCCATTCTTTAGGATTGCAAAACTTGTTCCTTTTTCGGGTTTTTTTTTCTATTTTATTTCCTTTTGGTATTTGACTTTCGTTTCTGTTTTCTTTTTACGTTTGTTTTGTTTTTATCATTATTATTCTTATTATTTTGTTGTTTCATTATGTTTTGTTATACTTGTTGGGGTATATGGAAAAGAACTAGTCTGAGATCAGAACAATGGTTGAAAAATTTTACTAGTATTACCCTCACCACTTTGTTCTGTTAATTTGTTTCTTTAAGTCCATCACTGTTTTTTTTTTTATTTGTTTTAAGAACTTAAGGTTGATTCTGTGGTGAACAGCTTTGTTGTTATAAAGGAATATCAAAACAATTATTTGGCTGAAAATTGTTTTTTGTGCCTTAGAATGATGGATTTGTATTCAAAATGTGCTTGTTGAATTGTCTTAACACAGACTGAAGCAGTTCTTGGTTGAAGGTCTGTGAATCTGAGGGTTGACTCCTAAGAAAATCACTTTGAAGTTTCTATCGTATATGTTTTTGCTTTTTCTGCCAACCTCTTCCTTCATGTTTAAAGAAAATTTTCCTTTTTGCTCCAAAAGAAAGATTTTAAAATCAAATTTGAGGGCTTGGCGTGTTGAAATCCATAGAAAATTTTGACTTGTACAATGCCTTTTGGGTTGGGGTCTGCTGGTGGTGGTGGTGTTCCTTATTTTTTATCCTTTTAAATTAGTTCCAATCTCGTGTCTCCCATACTTGCAATTTGAGTTGTTTGTGATTGGTTGGTACTTATGATAGAAAGAACTTGAATGGTTTATGGAATAAAAGTTGACTGAAATTTATATAATTAAATTGATTCTTGCAGGGTGTGGGAGACTTTTCTGGTTATTCTGGTCGTCTATACTGCTTGGGTTTCACCATTTGAATTTGGATTCCTTAAAAAACCGGAGTCACCACTATCCATTACTGATAATGTTGTTAATGGATTCTTTGCCCTGGACATTGTTCTCACCTTCTTTGTTGCATACCTTGATAGAACTACCTACCTACTCATTGATGATCGAAAGAAGATTGCTTGGAAGTATGGCAGTTCCTGGTTGGCTTTTGACATTATATCCACCATACCATCCGAACTTGCTCAGAAGATCTCCCCTAAGCCGTTGCGCTCATATGGCTTATTCAATATGCTTCGCCTTTGGCGTCTCCGCAGAGTTAGTGCCTTGTTTTCCAGGTACAAGACCTTTTAACTTGGATAATTGCGATTGCGATGTAGTCCAAGCGTTTGGCATGACTTATTGTTGCTTTCAACAGAATGGAGAAAGACAAGAACTACAACTACTTTTGGGTTCGATGTGCAAAACTTATTTGTGTGAGTATCACTAAAAAGAAATGGGACTGTTTACCTGAATTTTTTTTCTGTTAATGAAGCATTCATTACTTTTTGCTGGTTTTTTTAGGTCACAGTTTTTGCTGTTCATTGTGCTGGATGCTTCTATTATCTAATTGCTGCACGATATCATGATCCTGGAAGAACATGGATTGGATCATCTCTTGGAGACAATTTCCTTGAACAGAGCTTGTCAATTCGATATGTGACATCCATGTACTGGTCTATCACTACTCTGACTACTGTTGGCTATGGGGATTTGCATCCTGTGAATACTAGGGAGATGATATTTGATATTTTTTACATGCTCTTCAACCTCGGATTGACTGCATATTTGATTGGTAACATGACAAACTTGGTTGTCCATGGAACCAGCAGAACTAGAAGATTTGTGAGTGAATTCTTATTGTTTGTCGGGCTAATCAACTATATTAATTAATTTATTTATTTATTTGCTTTGGGGTTTGGGTTTTCAACTTTTGTGTTTCCTTAATTCTGCTTTCGATTTGCACCAGTTTTAGATTTATCTTTGATAATCTTTCCTTGTTTGTGGGTTTGACTCTCAGAGGGATACAATTCAAGCTGCTTCAAGTTTTGCTCAAAGAAACCAATTGCCTCCTAGCCTACAAGATCAGATGCTTGCACATTTATGTCTAAAGTTCAGGACTGATTCAGAGGGGCTGCAGCAGCAAGAGACTCTTGATTCCCTTCCTAAAGCCATCCGATCAAGCATTTCACATTATCTTTTCTACGTTCTTGTGGATAAGGTGTACTTGTTTCGTGGGGTTTCTAATGACTTGCTTTTTCAGCTGGTAATCCACTAGAAACATGTTAAGCTTTTGTAGTAAATGCTCTTGTTTAGTTATGTGGAATCTTTTTATATCTTTGAAAATAAATGTGAAGGTCTCAGAGATGAAAGCTGAATATTTTCCTCCAAAAGAAGATGTCATCCTGCAGAATGAAGCACCTACGGATTTCTACATCCTTGTTACTGGTGCTGTGGTAAAAACATTCTTTCTTGTTCAAAATTCTCGCTGTGCAATGAATGGCTCGTCTGAAATTTTACTATCTAGATCCTGTAGTTTACTTGTTGATTGTTGTTGTGTATGTTATCTGATTTTAAATTTTTCTCAAAGTGGTCCCTAATATTTTGTATTGCTTCTCAGGATCTATTGGTTCGCAAAAATGGAGTTGAACAGGTAAATTGTATCACTCAAACACTGGGCTTATCAATCAATAATGATGAATGGATGCTAACTGAATTAAATGCCACCTGGTTTCAGGTTGTTGGAGAGGCAAAAAGAGGTGATCTCTGTGGAGAGATAGGAGTACTCTGTTATAGGCCGCAGCTTTTTACAGTACGCACAAAACGATTGTGCCAGTTACTACGGCTAAACCGTACAACATTCCTTAATATTATTCAGGCCAATGTTGGAGATGGGACTATAATCATGAATAATCTCCTTCAGGTATGCATGCTGTACTTAACAATATAACCTAGCTACTAATATAATCCATCAAAATCCTTTCAACCTCGTTGTTAGTTCACAGTCTACACAGTAAATTATCAAAAGATTGTTGCATTATAAATTTTTAGATGGACAATTAAGATGAAATATGCCGAAGAAAATCACCAAAAATTGTGGAATAAGTTTTTACATATTCTGAACTCTTGGAATTCCTTTTTGGGGCAGCATTTAAAAGACATGAATGACCCAACTATGGAAATAGTTTTAACTGAGATAGAGAACATGCTGGCTCGTGGGAGAATGGACCTACCTCTCAATCTTTGCTTTGCCACACTCAGGGGAGATGACTTGTTGTTGCATCAGCTACTGAAAAGGGGGCTGGATCCTAATGAGTCTGACAACAATGGAAGAACAGCTCTGGTTTGTGAAATTCTTTAGCTTTTGGTTTGGCCAGGACCCTAAGTTCTCATGACGGTGGTGCTAATCTTTAACTTTTTGTGTTTGTTTTGTATAAAATTAGCATATAGCTGCATCGAATGGAAGTGAGAACTGCGTTCTTCTCTTATTGGATTTCGGTGCAGATCCTAACTGTAAAGGTATTCTCCAAGCCTTTTTGTTTAAAACAGTTGATCATGATTTTTTTAATGCCATCTCCTCTTCTCTCTTCAAATTCAGTGTCAACAAAAGTTTTACTTTGTTTTATAATGTCCGCTAGAAATACTTTTTTTCTCCTCTATTTGCTCTTCTGGTTGTAATATTGGCCAGCAACTATTTGATATCATCATCAATTTTTTAGTCAAATATTTTCTTACTATGAAGAAGAAATCATGCTAATAATATAGTATATATTGTTGACAATCTTATACTCTTATCCCGAGCAAGTCTTTAATGGACTACTGTTGACATCTTATGGTCAGATATCCGTCTGTGACGGTAAAAGATGGTCGGATAAGATGGTCTTTATTTAAACAATTGTCCGGAAATTATTTAAAATGTCTTGGATAAGATGGTCGGCACGTTTTATCTAAACAATTAGCCTAAAGATGTCAAACAAAATCATCATGTCAAGACTTTTTATAGTCGACTTTCCAGTTCTGTAACATGTCTGTGTTTATGAGTGTATGGATTTGTGAATTCATGTTTTATATTTCATATAATTCTATTTGTTTATTTATTTGGTTCAAACCTGTTTTGATCCTCATCAATCATATTCTAAAATCCCATAGCAGGACTTCTCTGATTTATTTAATTTTATATCATGCAGACTCAGAAGGAAGTGTACCACTATGGGAGGCAATGTTAGCTGGCCATAATAACGTGGCTAAACTGCTAAAGGAAAACGGGGCAAACATCAATGCTGGAGATGTAGGTCACTTTGCGTGCACTGCTGCTGAGCAGAACGACTTAAACTTGCTCAAGGAAATTGTTCGTCATGAGGGCGATGTCACACGTCCTAGGCACAATGGAGACACAGCTCTTCACGTTGCAGTTTGTGAAGGTAACACTGAAATAGTCAAATTCCTTTTGAAGCAAGGTGCTGACATTGACAAACCTAATGTCCAAAGCTGGACCCCAAGGGATCTAGCTGAGCAACAAGGACATGAAGAAATAAAGACGATATTCGAATCAAGTAAAGAGATGAAAACTCAATCAATTATGTCTATTCCCGAGAAGCAGGAGACACGCTACCTTGGGAGGTTCACAAGTGAACCAGTAATCCGTCCTGCAGCCCGGGATGGCACAGATGGATCCTGGAGCCAATCCCGTCCAAGGCGTAGGACTAGTAACTTCCATAATTCTTTATTTGGTATAATGTCAGCTGCACACAATGTGGAGAAACAAAAACTACTGTCAGTTCATCAGCCCAAGGGCGTCAAGGATTCTGTTGTTAACTCTCCAGCTAGAGTGGTAATTAGTTGTCCAGAAAAGGGAGAAACCACCGGGAAGCTTGTTCTACTTCCAGGTAGCTTTCAGATGTTACTTGACATTGGTGCTAAGAAGTTTGGGATCTTTGCTGCTAAGGTGGTGAGCAAAGAAGGAGCTGAAATTGATGATATCGAGGTGATTAGAGATGGTGAACATATTGTTTTTGTTAGTCATGGTCAAATGCAACAAGAAACTAAAAGCCAAAACCCCTATTGCAATGGGTTCTCTTAGAGCATGCATAGGTGCACTTTGCTAACTTTTTTTTCTTTAAAATTAAAGTGCCACAATCCAGTATAAGATTCTGAGATGGAGGTGGATCACTACTTTTTACCTTTTTTTTTTTTTACAATATCAAATCCACCAAAAAAAAAAAAAGCTGCGCTTATCCTGGCCACGTGCATTAAATAATCTTGATAAATTGTAAAGGTGTAATATTAATTAACTTGTTACTTTTTTTTTTTAATTTGTTTTTTCATTTTTCATTAGGTTTTTTTTAATTTATTTATTATTAATTAGTCGAGGAGTTAGATAATAATATGTAAAATCAACTGAAATCAATTTTTAATTATTCCGGCAGGTTTGATGAACTAATAATGGTTTTGAATCATATACAAAAAGTAAGTACCTGGTGTTGGGCTAGTACATGGATTTTTGTCTCCTTTTTATGGTAAATGGATCATGGGTTTCGGTATGGGCAACTTTGGGCCCGGCCATAAGTTAAATTAAAAGAAGATAAAAGAGATCCAAATTATGAAAAGAAAAAAAAAAAGAAAGAAATTAGTTAAGATTATAATTCATTAGTTAAATTCGATATAATTTTTTAATTCTTTTTCATTTTATATTTCATTCTCTTTCCCTTCCAATTTAATAATAATAATGATAATTATTATTTTATTTATATTTTTCACTTCAAATTTATCAGCTTTTTAATTGTTAATGAAATATTTTTAATTAACTCATTTATTTCTTTCATTTTTTTCTAATATTTATTTTTTATTTACTTATGAGTTGATAAACTTCAATAAAAATTTTCATCATTATTAATTACAAAATTTATTTTTATCATTATACGATTATTTTTAATTTTTAATTAAGAGTAATTATCTTTTTTCATATTTGTAAGCAATTATTGATTAATTGTTGATTAACGGTCGACTAGCCGCATTGGATGATTAAAGATCTAAAGGGCTCGTTTTGAAACAAGAGGGGTCAAACGTCAAAATAATTTTTTAAGGATGTTTTGAAGGGTAGTTTTGAAATTTTCCCTTCAATCAAGTATACGTATGAAATTTAATAAATATATGTCAATATTTAATTTTTTTATAAAATTTTATAAATTACATAGCTGATAAATAAATAATCCAAATGGTTTTGAAAAGGATATAAGAATAGCATAAAAAATTATAAATTACTTACCATGATTGATTCATATACATGCTGTTGCCCGAAACAGTATGAGAGTTAAATTAAAAGTAATAATGATTAGAATCAAATTGATTTAAATTTTTTAGATAATATATTATATGATAAATTTAAATTTAAATCAATATTTTAATTAAATTAATTGAGTTTAATTTTATCAATTTGATTCATCACTTTTTTAAATTTATTTTATATATTTAATACATTTTTAATATATTAAACAGATTTAAATATATTATAATTATTTTATTTTATAAAAATTTAATATATAATTTGATTGTCCATTTTTTATTTTTTATTTTTATTCAAAATTTGATCCAATTTTAATATATATTTAATATTGGATCTTAATTTAAATTAAATAAAAAATTCAAATAGAATTTAATGCTACAAATTTAAATTAATTTTCATTTTTTCCCCACTCTAATTAAAAGCCATAAATCACAAAAGTGGTCCAATCTCTATGTGCTCCGTGTTGACTGCCAGCTAACTTTACTTTCACCTTTTTTAAGTCGCCGGGTTTTGAAGGGCCCATATGTCGTCTCAGTCTGCCCATTACACTTTCTGCATATCTTCAAAATATTTAATAGAAACAAAATGTTCATCCTTTTTTCCAAGCGAAATCTTAAATATATTTTTCGTAAATTATATCTAAAAATATTTTTTATTTAAAATTATTATAATAGAATCTTTATTACAAAAATTAAAGATGTATCATTCTACCAGATCATATATGATTGATGGCAAAATCTAAAAATACTTTGATTCAATAAAAAAAATAACACTCTTTGCATTTTTTTTTCTCATTTTCCGCCTACAGAAACGAGGATTTTTTTTGGACAAATTAATATATATATATATATATATATATATATATAAAGTGGTAGGTCGTGTTATACAACTGTCATGCACCCAAAAAAGGGCAATTGGAGACTAAAAAGACTTTATGTCAATCAAAAAAGCTCATGGCAATTGGCAAAACTTATATAAAATAGTATAGGCGAAGATCACGGGAGTACTTATTAAAAATTAATAAATAAAATTTTTAATAAAAAATTTAAATTGATAGATTGATTAAATTTAATAAGAATATTAATAATATAAAAAATTATTTAAATCTGATTAATATTTATTTAATAATAAAACTTTTATTAAATTTTTATTAAAAATATTTATTTAATAAATATATTTAAATTTTATAGATTTTATATATATGATAAAATTTTTAATTTTAATTTAATTGTTTTTAATAAAAAATTTATAAATTTCACGACGTGAATCTTTTTCAACTAAGAAAAAAATTACAAGATTATCTAGGAGACCTTCCTAATTGTCATAATCGGAAAGGAGCATAGGAATCTCTTTTTTTTTTTTTTTTTGAGTAAAAGTTCATGTATAAATCATTAAGATTCCTGTTACAAGATGAGAAATTTTTTATTAAAAAAATTTATACAACAGTATCTTATTTATATAAAAAAAAATCTCACAATTACTATCGCTTATCGTAATTTTAAATATTATTTTAATTAAAACATCATAATTCTAAATATTACACTAACAATAGTGTTTAATAAAAAATTTAGGAAGGAAAAAGTTATATTGAGTACGAAATAATATGCTCAATCATTAGATTAGATCTTTTCTTCGTTTGTTCCTTTTTTTTTTTTTTTTTCCTTCTTTACCAAATCTAAGTGTAAGTCAAATGTTGGGATCCTTTTTTAACTTGCCATTTTTTCAATCATATTAGTTTAAAATTGAGAGGGCGGCGAGGAGACTACAAAAGCAAATGTTGTGTACCTTGGATTGTATTTGACCCTTCATTTTTTAAGTTAAAAATCTCTTACTTTGGTAGAAAGGGCGAATTCTTTAGTCCCAAAATGTTTTAATTTGATTTAGAAGAAAATTTTCCATGGATTTTTTACATGCATGCATTAGTTTTTAATTTATAAATGATGAGTAGTTTGGTCTTTCCTACGAGAAACGGGTCCAAATTTCCTTTTCTTTTTTTTTTTTTTAAATTGAGATTGTTGTTTCTGGATGCATGCATGAACTTCATTATCGTTCCTCCGGAAAAGAAAATTCCATTTTAATGGTGTTTTTTCTATGGACGTGTGTCCTTTTGTGTTCAATTAATGGACACATATATAGGAATTAAAATATATACTTATCATTTATCACATGGACGGCTTCTCTCTTTCACTTCTAATATATACTAACAGTAAGTCACGACAAATGTGCGTGACTAAATAATTGAAAAAATTAAATAAATTTCCCATTTTCAATTTTGATTAACTATAAAACTGCTTAATTAAGGTCTAAATTCCTCTCTACGAATATATAATTTATTTTTATGTATAATTAGTATATAAATTTTATATATTATAAGTGAATCATATGATATTATTTTGTTAATAATTTTTTAATTAAATTTTTATATTAATGAAATGGTATTATTTAATTTATTTATGCTATTTAAAATTTATAAATTAATGTGCATCAAATATAAATTTATAAAATATGTAAAATTAAAATTTTTTTCATTTAATCCCTTCTCTATATCTGCCGACAAAAGGAAAACAAAGAAATTAACTCAACAAGTTAAGCAAGAAGGAATATAACATTTCCCTGATAGGAGCCTTTGCTTACCGTTGGGGTGAAGGTTTTGAGGTAAATTTTACGCAAAAAAATGTCAAGTTGAATTGCGGAAGCTTCCAAAGGCAAGAAGCACACGCGAAAGAGCCATGACAGCGAAACCATAAGGAAAGAAAGCTCCCTTTTTTTTTTTTTCAAAATGCGTACAAACATTGACGTGGACGAATGAAATGGAAATCAAATGGTATAAGTATGTAATAATGAAAAGAAAATGACAAAAGAAAAGAATCTCATTCTCAAACAACCAATCATATAGTGTTCCGTTTAAACATGATAGGCAGAAAATAGTATCCATAAAGATTTAGAGATCATGTTTCTTCTTTCCTCTTCCTTGAGTGCAGGGCGGGATATCGAATTTCTGAGAGACTTAGACCCTGCATGAAGAATCAAAAAAGCTTCGTACTTTGAATATGTGGAAAAAGGAAAGGAAATTAACAATTAATGAGAGTAAATGCATGATATTAAGAAGATGAAATTACTTACTGTTGGAATTCTATGTTGATGGAGTCAACAGCTATATTGGCAACTGCACCAAACGCAGTCTCGGATAGGACAATGGTGGCGGATTGAGCTGAAGATGAAGACAGTGCAGTAGGAGCATAATCAACAATCTTGACCTGGATAGTCTGGTCAGGAGCACAAGTCCCAGGCTGTGAAGCACTGATGCACCTCACCAGGTATTGTCTTCCGCATGATGCTCCATTGTCCCATATCCCATCTCCAGCTGCTGCGAACAAATTGCTTGATGGAAACTGGCTCTGATCATCACCATAGCACGCCGTCGCTCCACATAAAACATATCCCAATCCACAAAGGAAAAAATAAACAAAAAGAAAGTTCGGAGTGAAAACATTGAAATTGAAGTAGATTTTTCAAGGTTATACTTATTAGTTTCCAAAGCTTAAACTTGATGTAAATAAAGATGGGTACCCACGTAAATATGGGGGGCTGTACTGGGCAGCAGTGCCAACATCAGCATGGGAGAAATGGAAAAACTGGGAAACAATAAGGAAATATGACAGGAATTGAAGGATCTGCATATTCGCAAAGAAAACGAGTAAAGGAGGGATAAAGGAAAAATATTGTATGTATATAATAATAGTATAATTTCCGTTCAAGTCAACTTGATAAAAGTCTAAATAAATTTTAATTGGAACAACTTGGATTATACCGAGGGAGAAAGAGAATGTTGAAAGTGACGGATCCTGGCTTGATTGGCTAGGAATCGTCAAATCAAGGCCAACTCATCACGCGGAAACGCAAGAATCAATCTAAAAACAGTTTGATGTACCCCATACTACGGCTAAGGAAAAAAAAATCGAAAAAATCAAAAATTGATTTGATTTGAATTGATTTGGATTTTTTTATCGGTTGGGATTAAATTTAAATAGTAAATACATATTAAATTTAAATTAAATTAAAAAAAAGATTTAAAAAATAGAAAAAAATTGTATCATATATTTTTATTATTTTGTATATATTTTATATTTAAATTTATTTAAATATATTAAAAATTATATTAAAATAATATATAAAAATTTAAAATTTAAAAAATTAATATATCAAATCAAATCAATAAAATTTAATTTAAATAACCTCATACAAAATTTTCATTTAAATTTAAATTTTAAAAATTTATAATTTTATGTATTATTAAAAAATTCAAACTGATTCATTATCGCCTTGCACCGGGGAGATCGGTTATACGAAAAGCACAAGGACGAGGGGATAGCAGAGGTTGTTGCATTGTCTTGCAATGTTAAAGAGGAAGTGATGTGTAGGGCGAGCTGACCTGCCAAAGTGAGAGAGCAATAGTCAGTTGAGAGTCATTTATGTTACAATAACCCACCTAAAGACTCTTCAATGTATCTTAGAATCAGTGCAGAAACTGCAGGCGTTGCCTTGAGAATTTAATAATTTGTATGGTGGATTTAGACCACTGACCCAACCATGGTTACCTGCTGATAAATTATCATTTCCTCAGTCACCCTTGCAATCTTGTGTCCGAAGTGATAAATATAATAATATAAAAATAATATATTATAATAAATTTATAGTAATAGATAATAATTAATAATTAATAATATAAAAAAAATCATATCAAAATTTACTTGAAAAATTTTTCAGTTTAGAAAAAATTTTATTGTTAAATAATGTATATACAAAGTTTTCTTATAATTAAAATTAGAGTTAATTAACAACTAAAAAGATAATTAAAGAAATTTTATTAAATAAGTGACTCAATAAATATACCATGAATTTATTTTTAGAAAGTTTCAAATCAAATTTCCAACATGTAAAATGTAAAACACTGAATAATGAACTTGTTGATAAAATTTTAACTAAATTGGATTACAAATCAACTTCCGTTCAACTAACTTTTCTTTTCTCCCTTTTATCTCTATCTTTCTGGTTTTTCTTTTCCCTTCTCGACTTTCAACGCGACACTCTTTCACACCAAAAAGATAACCCCTAATTTTTATTTAATACATATGGCTCTCTTAAGGTAGCCTAAAACACAAGGCCCATAGCTTTTGAATAGTCAAAATCATGGGGCTAGATCCCACGTTCATAACGATCTCTCCCTTTAGTCCCATTAGGAGGAGATACATCATTATAGCAGTTTTATTTAAAATTTACCTTAGTCAAGGAATCCATTTCGGTCAAGTTACTGCAGAGCTCAAACTTTTTTTAAAAAAGTATCTTGATCAATATATCTGTTGTATTCTCATCATTATGGATTTTCTTCAACTACATCTGTTATTTTTCAATCACTAAATGTAACTAGTGATATCTAACATCAATGTAATTTGTTCTAACATGGTACATGGCATTCTTACTCAAATCTAAAGTACTTTTGCTATCACAAAATACCATATACTCTTTTCGATTCAACCCTAATTCAAGAAAAAAACATTTTAACCAAAGCATTTATTTATCTACTTTGGTTGCTATAATATACGCAGCCTTCATAGTTGACAAAGCAACACACTTCTGTAACTTAAATTATTAAGATATAGCTCATCTTGTAAAGTGAACAAATACCCTAAAGTAGATTTTTTACCATCAAATCATCTACCATGTCAGCATCAGTAAACCTTTCTAGAACTAGTTGTGAAACTCCATAACTCAAGCACATTTTTGAAATGCCCCTCAAGTATCTAAAAATTCATTTTATTTCTTCTCAATGAACCTTTCTCAAATTAGAAAAAAATTTGGTCACTACACCAACTGCATGAGTAATGTCAGCCATGTGTAAATCATAAAATACATCAAAAAATTGACTACAAAAGAATAAAGAATACTAGACATAGCTAGTTGCACTCCCTTAGTCACTGGATAAGATTTTTTACTCAGATGAAATGATTGACAAGTGGATTGCTAACTGATTTAGCATGTTGTATGTTAAATCTATCAAGCACCCGTTCAACATTTTTTTTTTGTGATAACCATAGCTTTTTAGCTCTCCTATCTCAAATAATATCTATATCGAGAATCTATTTTATTAGAGATAAATCTTTCATGTTAAAAGACTTAGACAATTATTTTTTTAACTTGCAAACCATACTAGCATATTATCCCATAATTAATATATCATCAACATATAATAAGAAAATAATGAAGTTACCATCAAAAAAATTTTTGACATACATATAAAGATTTGTTGTCGTTCTTTTATAGCTATGACTCACCATAAAAAAATCAAACATTTTGCACCATTGTCGCAAAGATTGTTTCAAGCCATACAAGTTTTTCTTCAGTTTACAAACTAAGTGTTTTTTTCCTTTTAATTCAAAACCCTCAAGTTGATCCATGTAAGTTCTCTTATAAGTCACCATGCAAGAATATAATCTTAACATCAAGTTGCTTTAACTCAAGATTCAAACTAGCTGCTAATCTTAGTACCACTCGATTGAAACTCATCTTCATAATTGGAAAGAAGATCTCATTAAAATTGATGTCAAGTTTTTAAGAAAAACCTTTCATCACCAATTGAGCTTTATACCTCACTAGTTTGTCATCATATTTTTTTAACTTGAACATCCATTTATTCTTCAACAACCTCTTTCCTTTCGAAAGTTTAACAAGATCATATGTACCATTTTTTATAACGACTCTATTTTTTTTCATTGCTTTTAATTAATGCTCTCTATTCAAAGTAGTCTGCACATTTTGAAAGTTTTTTTGCTCTCTCTCACTGGTAATTAAAATAAAATATGAACTTGGATACTTGGTGGATAGCCTGTGCTCTCTGGTAGATCTCTTAGGTTAAGACTCTACACTATCTGATTTCAAAAGTAGCTCCCCTTACTCAACACTTTTTGGTGAAAGAGATTGCTCACTCTACTCAACACACTCAGGTAATGAGGATTGCTTTCCTTACTCAAAACTGATTACATCTGATTTATCACTAACTGTAGTTGGCTCATTTATATCCTTAAGTTTTTTCTCTTGCTCATTATCACCATCTATGGTTTTTTTTCAGTGGAATCTTGTCGATGTTAAGACATTACACTTAACAGTAACTCGTGTAATCTTCTTATTTTTTTCAAGGTCTGTTATGATTTTTTTTTCATGAAAGAAAAACACATCTCTACTTTTAACTATCTTTCTCTTTACTGGTTCTCATACCCTGTAGTCAAATTCATTAACATCATATCCTACAAATACACATTGTGTAACTTTACTGTCAAGCTTTAATCTTTGCTATTTTAACATATGCATGAATGCTTTACATCCAAAAACTTTCAAGTGAGAGTATGAAGCATCTTTTTTTATCCACACTTTTTCTAGAATGTCAAAGATAAAAAAAAATTGACAATAATCTTTTAAGCAAATAACAAGTTATGTTGGCTACTTTACCCCATAATGGCTATGGTAGTTTTGCCAGTCTTAACATAGGACTTTTTCTATAATGGTGCGATTCATCCTTTCAGCTACATTATTATGTTACAGTGTTCTAGGTTCTATCATCTTATGCATGATCATATACTTTGAATAGTATTCTTCAAAGTCTTTGGATGTGTATTATTCACCATTATCAATCTAAATACACTTTAAGAGCAACTCTGTCATCTTTTTCACTAAGGCATGAAATTTCTAAAAATATCGCAATACTTGATTTTTATTTTTCAACATATACACCCAAGTCTTATGTTAAGTATAATCAATAAAGTTAATAAAATACCTACTATCTTTCAATGACTTAACCTTAATGGAACCACATACATTAAAATGAATTAATTCTAATATATTTTCTTTTCTCTAAGAATGCTAACAAAAAGAAACTCTATGACATTTGCCAAACAAATAATGATCATATAAATCGAAAAACATATATTTGGTTAAGGTAATGAAAGACTATCTTGCTAAACTCTATAACCTTTTCTCGTTTATATGTGCCAGCTTCTTATACTATAAGTTTATTGAAGCATCATCCTCAACGATATTTATCTTGTTGCAATTCAATTGCATCAATGTCTTGTACATTATGCAACATAATTTTTCCTTTGCAACTACCATAGATCTTTTGAAAAGTTTTCACTATCTATTTTCTTATTGACTATCATATTCTTCCTTATCAAGGATATTAATAGCAAGTAAATTTATTCTTATATCCGAAATATGTCTAACATCCCTTAAAGTTAACATATAGCTCGTACTAGTTTGTACAATAATATCATCAATTTCAACAATCTATAAGACACTTTTGTTTTCTATCTTGGTGTAACCAAAGTCTCTTGCTTTGTAAGTTGTAAACAATTTCTTCTTAGGAACACAATGATATACTGCTCTGTATTAACTATCCACTCAATGCCAAAATCACCAACATGTACAATCACCATGTGTATAAATCAAAATAACTGAATCACTATCTGAATTCATTGCTGTAACATTACCATCATCTGAGCTTTTGCCTTTCTCATATTCTGCTATTGTTTCAAGATTTTGTAGTATTGTTTTATATAACTTGCTTTACCATAATGCATTTTATCTTTGGACTTGAATTTATATTTGTATTTATTACGACCTTTTGAGTTCTAACCTTTGTCGATATTTTTACCTCAATTCTATGTGACCAGAGCTTGATTCTTAAGGTCTAAATCTTTTTGTCTTACTTATTCATTAAGCATACTATCATTTACCATCTCTAATGTCACATTGTAATCAAGAGCTGAATTAAGAACAGTCACAACTAGAGTATTCCAATTGTCTGACAATGAACTTTAAAAAATAACGCCTTCATTTCATCATCCATCTTAAACTTCATAGTAGTCATCCGATTAAATATATCTAAAAAATCACTTAAATACTCTGTAACCGATTGTTCATTCTTAT